TTTCTCCTTTCTTTGCACCATGCGTTATGATTGGAGATTACATTTCGAGCAACGTGTGTTTGATATACTGATTTACGATAACATATAATTTAACCAAACAGAGCCCATGAATAAAAGTGGACTCTACATTCAGAAATTTTTTTTGAAGTACCTACTAGCAACTAGAAGAAAATCCTGCAAAATATGTGATTTACTGTGAAAAGTTGAAATAGAAATCATTACTATGAAATTTTATAGGAGTTAATAAACAATGGATTTTGTATCTTTGTTTATGTGTTTCACATGATTATTTTGCAGTATGAAAGAATAAAAAAAATAAATAAATAAATAAAAAGAAATGTCATTTGAGTTTTATAATTTTTTTCAATTTTACAAAGCAGTTATTCGATAGATCATGCAATAGCTCTTTTCACCCTCTTTTTTTTATATGTAATTTCATAGATGAGATATATATACCTCGTCAAAATCCGAGATATAAATACCTCGTCAAGATATATATACCTAGTCAATCAAAAGAATTCCGTACATCTCATTAAAGTCCATTTAACGTTGTATATTTCCTATGAAGAAATAAGTAATTTTCGCATTGTATATACATACAATATAAAATATAGGAGTACACAATCCCTTAAGATGTGTTATTGATGTCTGGTTGCCATGTTTCAATAGATTCTGGACAATTCCCGTAAATTTACAGATACAACATACTCCTGCTTAGACGCAGTACAACTTTCTGTTTCATTGAATATCCATGAGTTTATTAATACGAACATTTATTAAGTCTCCAAGTGACACTGTCCATGTAGCCACAATAGTCCTCCATTTGGAGACATTGGAATACTGGACCTGAATAATGCTTCAGGTTGATAACATATTAAAGAAATTAATAACTTTTCTACAATTTTGCTTGGTTTGAATTTTATTTTATCACTATTATTTCTGCTAAGTTGATCCCACTATCACTAAGGGATAAGGAATCAAACTTGCCATTGCTATTCCAAAGCTGCCCGTGACTCAATGTTATACTTATTTAATCATTCACTTTGATAGAAATTTCTGTATTCTTTCATGGTCGTAACGAACAACAAAGTCAGGTATAGCATCTGCATAATAAATTTTTTTGTACTAAAACATGTGAACCGATAAGAATTTCTTGCATATATCGTACGAATTCTATTGGTCTAGATTTCTCTGTAATCGTACATACTGAATTCTGAAACAATATTCTATGACAAATAAAATAGTGAAGTATGCCCAAGCGTACTTCTGTCGAATTTTCTTTAACGAAATACTTTATAAGGAATACAGATCAAATTGTTAATTGTACTAAATCCAGTGTTGGTAAATTTATTGTTATTATGTAACATGCGAATATTCAATGCTGAATATGACACTATTCCAAAAGTCTTGGATCTTTTCAACAGATAATTCTAGACATTTTCGTCTACTCGTTGCATTTGTAAGAGATTCTTTTAAGCTTTCTTGAGGAAATGTTTGTTTCTTGTAGATACTGTCTCTTCCGAGAGTTGGTTAATCCACAAAATGGCGTTGCCAATCATTGTTCTATGAATTAATATCTTATCGAGTGAGGAGCTTGTAAAGTACCACAGTCTTAAATTTCTATTAAGTTTATTAAATTCATTTCGCGCGTTCGAATGGCTAATTAAAATTTTGTATATAACATGTTGCACCAGAAATCAGACACGTGAATCAAAAATGGCAGCTATCAATTTTATCGTATTTCCTAAATACGTTGAGCTATTTTTACCGGCTGAGAAAGACATAAATTTTGAGCTTCGATGCTATGAATATTTTCTATCTTTAAAGTGAATTGATACAAAAATGTATAGTCTATATTTATACTAACATTACTTCTGCTTGTTCTTTATAAAATGCATTCACGATCACGTGGAGGAATCTACGGTTTACCCCCGTGTTTTTCCCATTCAGGATTAAATTCGTAAATCAAATTTAGTCTTAACTTAACACTATCTTTTACTTAAACGTTTACTCCCTTTCACACATTCAATTGCACTCGCATACCCGTATGGTATTTTTGTTTTTCAAAGTGAATTGATACAGTGTTGCCAAATCTTTGAGATTCACACTGTAATCTTAAGTTTGCATCTTTGTAATTAAATTCATGCTCCGAAACCTAGGGCACCGCGTTTTCTCGTCAATCCAGTCTCATCTAGATTCAGTTCGCATAATTGCGGTAACAATGAATGTTAAGAAAATTTCTGAAGTCTACATCAACATCAAGTATTTTCGCTAGACAAAATGGTCCCATTCCTTACGATTAGGTGGAGGAATGTACGATTTGCCTCGATATTTCTCTCCATTCGAGATTAAATTCGTGTTAAATCTGGGCAGCGCATTTCCTCGTCAATTCAATATCATCTGGACTCAATTTGCATAATTGCAATAATAATTAATATTAAAAAAAATCTCTAAAGTCTGTATCAACATTATTTTCGTCTGTTCTTGACGAAATGGCCCCATTTCTTACGATCAAGTGCAGGAATATACGGTTTGCTCCTATATTTCTCCATATTCGTGATTAAATTCGCGTTGTTATAATTCCATTTCCTCGTCAATCAACGATCTTGCGTATCTTCTCGCCGGTTAATGCGTTTCGGAACTTGTAATCGCGACTGTTGGCGTTGGGTCGACTCTTTGTCGAGCTAAACGCCAAGAAATCTGGAGGTCTTTGTAAGTTTTGCAAAGGATAATATTAATATTGTCTCGATGTCTTTGCAATGATAACAAACTGTATTCCATAAAATACCTGTCACGCTGTAAATCCCAAACTAGTAAATACCAGAAGCTATTATATTTGCATGTATGTCTCCCTTCCCCTCCATTCCCTCAAAATTTCATATTAATCTGTTGCTTTTGCGTTTTGGAACTACAGCCAAAAAAAAAGAAAATCTTATTGTATATATTATCATCTGTATATCAAAGATTTCATGTGAATATACCGGATAATTTTTTCAACGATACTACTTTCTTTTCTGACGATTTTCTACTTATTTGATATCAGGATACGCAATACTATTCACTATAGAATAGAAATACATTTATATGATATTTATATTATTTATTAAATCTATTTACAAAATAAAAATAACTTTCAGTAGAGAGTTCTCACTTTTCTAACTTTTACTACAGAGCATTTCTTCTAGAAAAAAAAAAAATTAAAAAAATGTTCTATTATTTTTAAAAATATTATAAATCTCTTGAGCTGTGGCTGAGCGTTTGAAGCGAACGAATCATAACGAAGCAGAGAGAAGTGCTCGTGGTATGAAAATTCAAATTTAAACAAGTGAGAGCTTGCTTTAGGTAACTTAATGAGAGACGTGTATGAGCCATGTGACTCTTCAACGCTCGTCCAATATTATTTTATAAGAATTTAAAATTCAGCATAAAATTGTGCACTATCACAGCACAAAGGACGGATAACAGCAGAATTGCGCCCAGATTAACTCTTAAGATCAGGAATGGAACAAAAGTTATTGTCGAGCGCTAATTATCTCTGGTTTTTGTATTTTCTAACACAAGACCATACAACTAGGACTAGTAGCTAAAAGAAGAAAATATAATAAATAAGAATAGAAAGTAGAGGTAAAGTAGAAGATAGATATGCATACATATCTTATTATTATTATTAATTTTCACACATATCAAGAAAAAGTGTAAAGAGCAGTAACGTGACATATACATTGAACAGATGCAGAAGAAATCAAAGAGATAGTAGAAAACAAAGGATTTAGCGTAAGAAAAGTTACAATTATTCTAGATAGAAAGGCAAAAAATAAGCTGAATTTACAAATCACAAATTGAACCAAAAGAAGAAAACGAAAGCTATATTCAAATAATTTATTAAATAAGAAAATGAAAGTTGAACTTGCACGTGAAAGATATACCAGATAAATAAATAGCAATATCACAATGTAAATGAGCAATATACAAGAACATATTGTAATTCAATATGAAACGAAGTTACGTCAAAAAGCCAAAGACGAATAAACAAAATGCATCTACTGCGCGAAAGAACATAATTATGAAGAATAATTTGCCAAAAATCCTAGGAAATCTTCAGACAGAAAAAGCCTAACTACGTTCATTAAAAACGAATTGTCATATGCACAAATGGCAGCTAGTAAAAAACTCTAAAAAAGGATGTAATAAAGAATACATACCGTATTAAAAATGCAAATAAAAGATAACGTAATAATTTTTATATATAGAAATGTGGAACAGTGTATCGAATGATTTTGACGTCATCGAAAAATCGATGTAGTATCAATATTAGAGAAGCATTTCAGAAATCTTGCTCTAAAATATACGATTATACTACCAAACATCCAAAGAAAGAAAATACCACGAGAAAGAAAAATATGAAAAAAAGAAGTGTAGAGGTTACAGAATTAAGAAATCACTTAACGATCTCGGCTTTTCATTGCCTATCTAAACGATAGAGATAAATACAATGCATTTCTTTCAACATTAGGACCAAAATACATCACGAGTGTTGATTAGAACGAAAAGCATACGCATTCGAAACGAAGTGGGCTAATCTAAAGAGCTATAAAAAAAAAAGGCAAGTATGTAAGAAATGTTATGAAAATTAAAAGCGATTTCCATCATCAGGGTTATCAGCGCATAAA